GTAATAGAACTCCAAATATATCCGGTCAGGGCGACCCAAAATAAAGTCTATACCTCTTAGCCTTCCTTACAGCTTTTCACGAGACTACTTCCTGGTCAGCGGGGAGGAGTGGAAATGTTACAGGAAAACATCCAGAAACTTTTTTTTTTTTTAAGACAGGGTCTTACTCTCCCACTCAGGCTGGAGTGCAGTGGTACAATCACAGCTCACTGCAGCCTCCACCTCCTGGGCTCAAGAGATCCTCTCACCTCAGCCTCTTGAGGAGCTGAGACTGCAGATGCACGCCACCATGCCTGGCTAATTTTTGTATATTTTGGTATTGACTGGGTTTCACCATGTTGTCCAGGCTGGTCTCGAACTCCTGGGCTCAAGCAATTCTCCTGCCTCGGCCTCCCAAAGTGCTGGGATTACAGGCGTGAGCCACCACACCTGGCTTAGAAACTTTCTCAACGAATGGTATGAGCGCGTTGCCCCTTTTCCTCCCTTCTCCCTCACTGCTGGAGAGAATGAAGACATGATGGCCACAGCCTCTTAGACCTTGACGCAACAATGGGAAGGGAAGCTGTGCCCAGGAGAACAAAACAGAAGCAGCTTAGGTCCCTCAGCTAACTGGCTACCTTTTGGCTTTTCTGTGACTAAGAAATAAACGTCTCTCTTGTTTAAGCCACTGATAGATGTTCTAGGTTTGTTAGAGCCAAAGCTGATTGTCCATGTGATATCATTTCACATGTGGAATAGGAAATGGGTTCAGGGAGACAGTCACTTGCCCACGTCACGCTATAGGTAAGTGGGATCGCTAGAATTTGAGCCCAGAGCCCCATGACTCCCAAATTCTAAGGACTAACCATGATGGTATCTCGCCTCCTGGCTGTGTCGCCTTGGGCAAGTCGCCTCACCTTTCCTTTTTGAGACAGGGTCTCACTCTGTCACCCAGGTTCCAGTGCAGTGGTGCAATCACAGCTCACTGTAGCCCCACCCTCCCAGGTCTCATCTTGCCTCTGCCTCCCGAGTAGCTGAGACCACAGGCATATGCCACCAAATCTGGCTAATTTTTTTTTTTTTTTTTGAGACGGAGTCTTGCTCTGTGCCCCAGGCTTGAGTGCAGTGGCCGGATCTCGGCTCACTGCAAGCTCCGCCCCCTGGGTTCACGCCATTCTCCTGCCTCAGCCTCCCTGAACTAGCTGGACTACAAGTGCCGCCATCGCCCGGCTAGTTTTTTGTATCTTTGTAGTAGACGCGGTTTCCGGTGTAGCCCAGCGATGGTCTCGACTCCTGGACGTGTGTTCCGCCCGCCTCGCCTCCCAAAGTGCTGGATTACGGCTGAGCCACAGCGGCCCTGCCTGCCAAATTTCTGTAAAATTATTTTTTTGCAGAGATGGGGTCTTGCTATGCCTCACCTTTTTGAACCTCTATTTCTGCACGATAAGGCACAGGTGAAAAGCTTAGAGAGCTTAAGTGTCAGAGACTGGGTTACAGTGCCAGCTCTGCCCTCGTGCTGTGTGACTGTAAGCCACGCATCTCTGTGCTCCAGTTTTGTCCTCTGTAAAATGGAAATAATAAGAACCACCTCCTAGTCTGGGATGTGGCTTTGATGAAGCGGAGATACAAGCCAAGTAGTTAGCACAGTGGTTACCAGAGAACTGCTCAACAGCGTTAGCTGTTATCGTGGCATCACCTTTAACACAGGCATGATTAATACCCACCTCCCAGGCCTGTTAAAAGGACTACTATGCCAAGTTGGTGGGCACTGGGTCTGGCACACCATGGGCCCTTAAAAAACGGCAGCTAGGCCGGGTGTGGTGGCTCACGTCTGTAATCCCAGCACTTTGGGAGGCCAAGGTGGGCGGATCACTTGAGGTCAGGAGTTTGAGACCAGCCTGGCCAATATGGTGAAACCCCGCCTCTACTAAAAATACAAAAATTAGCCAGGCATGGGGGCAGGAACCTATAGTCCCAGCTGCTTGGGAGGCTAAGGCAGGAGAATTGCTTGAACCCAGGATGCGAAGGTTGCACTGAGCTGAGATCATGCCACTGCACTCCGGCCTGGGTGACAGAGTAAGACTCCATCTCAAAAAAAAAAAAAAGGCAGCTATTCATTCCTGAGTGCTGTGTTCCTAGGCCAGTGCTGGGGCCTCAGCTATGACCCACAGAGACCCAGGCCTTGCTCTCATGGCCACATCATTCTGATGCTATCAAAGATGAGCTCTCTCTTTAGCCCTCTGGTTCCTTCCTGGGTGGTAGAGGCAAGCGAAGAGCTCTTAGAGCTTCCTCTTCTCTGCTGAGTGGAGGTTAAGAGCGGTCTCTGTCTCACAGGTGACTGCAGGGGATTCAAAAAAAATCCTGCATCTAAAGCCCTCTCACATGGCCTCAGGGTGCCTGTGAAGGATCAATTAAATGGTTAATTACTATTGTTAATATTGTTTTATTCATCTATTCTTTCAAACTGTATTTGACAGACCCAACCCTACGGTACAAATGTGACCCAAATACAACTAGCCCCAGGCTCACAGAGCTGGGTATGTGCATATACGTATGAATGGATAAGCATATTTCATACACACACGCACACACACTGTTAAGTATTCCTTATCTGAAGTGCTTGGGATCAGAAATGTTTTGGATTTTTTCAGATTTTGGAATATTTGCCTATTCATAATGAGATATCTTAGGGATGGCACCCAAGTCCAAAGACCGAATTCATTTATACTTTATAAGCACAGCCTGAAGGTAACTGTATACAATATTTTAAATAATTTTGTGCATGAAACAAAGTTTGTGTTAAGTACTTATATATGAAACTTTCCACTTGTAGTGCGGCATCGTGTCAGTACGCAGACAGTTTCAGATTTTGGAGCTAGCCTGGCGCGGTGGCTCACGCCTGTAATCCCAGCACTTTGGGAGGCCGAAGCAAGCAAATCACCTGTGGTCGGGAGTTCAAGACCAGCCTGACCAACATGGTGAAACCCTGTCTCTACAAAAAGTACAAAAATTAGCCAGGCATGGTGACAGGTGCCTGTAATCCCAGCTACTCAAGAAGCTGAGGCAGGAGAATAGCGTGAACCTGGGGGGTGGAGGTTGCAGCGAGTTGAGATCATACCACTGCACTCCAGCCTGAGCAACTGAGCAAGATTCTGTCTCAAAAAAAAAAAAAAAAGAAAACTTGGAGCATTTCGGATTTTGAATTAGGGATGTTTAACCTGTGTATGCGTGTGTGCGAGTGTGTGAGTGTGTGTGTGTATTTTTTTTGAGGTGGAGTCTCACTGTTGCCCAGGCTGGAGAGCAATGCAACCTCTGCCTCCCAGGTTCAAGCAATTCTCCTGCCTCAGCCTCCCAAGTAGCTGGGATTACAGGTGCCCGCCACCACGCCTGGCTAATTTTTGTATTTTTAGTAGAGACGAGGTTTCACCATGTTAGCCCAGGCTGGTCTCAAACTCTTGACCTGAGGTGATCCACCCACCTCGGCCTTCCAAAATGCTGGGATTACAGGCATGAGCCTCCACACCAGGCCCATGTATGTGTATCTTAAGTGTGTTAAATTCCACAAAGGGGAAGGAAAGGGAGCTATGATTACGGCATTTTTAGAGGACACCTGACTGAGCTCGGGAAACAAGACTCCTCTGAGGACTGAGATCTGACAGATGAGCAGTAGTTAACCAGGTATGGGAAGAGCTCATACAAAGGTCCTGTGGCTGGGGAGCGCTTGGGTCAGTGGAGGAATAGCAAGGAGGCCAAAATGACTTGTGCAAAGGAACAAGGCAGAGTGTGGGGTGGTGTGAGTCTGGAGGAGGGGCAAAGACCAGGCCATGCAGGACCCTAAAGGCCACAGTGAGGAGCCTAGGCTTTCTCTCAAGGGTACTTAGAAGCCATAGAGGTGCTGTGAGCAAGAAAGGGACAGGGTCAGTTTTGCGCGTTAGAAAGGCCTCTTGGACTCTTCTAGGGAGGACAGACTGGAAGAGCCAGGACTGGAGGCCAGCGGACCAGAAAGGAGGCTGGGGCAGTAATACAGGAGCAAATGGAAAATGTCTATATAAATGTCATCTGACAGGAAAACTGAACCTAGTAAACAGGTGCCATTTCAAGCTGGGATCCCAAGGAGACAGAGGAGTTAAACAGGTGAGGAGGGGGTAATACAGGCCAAAGCGCCGTGGTGGCAGAAATAGAAGGCCAGTGGAGCTGTCCAAGGATGAAGCTCAGTGGTCAGACCACAAGGGTCTTTTAGGCCAGGGAGAGTTTGGTCTTCCCCCCAAAACAACTGAAGCATCAAACAGGAGAGGCAAGTGGTCAGGTTTCACTTAATATTCACTCCTTTTTTTTTTTTCCTTTTTTTTGAGACACAATCTAGCTCTGTCACCCAGGCTGGAGTGCAGTGACGCCATCTCTGTGCACTGCAGCTCCCCCCTCCGAGGCTAAGCAATTCTCGTGCCTCAGCCTCCCGAGTAGCTGGGACTACATGCACACACCACTAAGCCTGGCTAATTTATGTATCTTTAGTAGAGATGGGATTTCACCATTTTCGCCAGGCTGGTCTCGAACTCGTGACCTCAGGTGATCTGCCCACCTCGGCCTCCCAAAGTGCTGGGATTACAGGTGTGAGCCACCGTGCCCAGCCAACTTAATACTCACTCCTATTGTGTGCCAAGCCAAACCTCAAGAGTGGCTGAGCTCTTCTGGGAATGGGGAACCCAGCAACAAGCAAAACAGACAGCGTTCTGGAGGTGGCCAGTCTAACGTCAGGACTGCTCTGAGGATTACAGAGACTTCCCTTTTTCTTGCTAACACCAGATCGGCACTGGGAGGCCACACCAAACGACACAGCATGTTACAACAAACAGAAGCTCTTGGGATCCTAACAATGATTATGCTCAAGAAAAGATTAATGAATATACTCCTGAGGAAATAAGCCTCTTGTCTTGACATACTTCCAAGCCCAGATTTTACCAGGATGACCTGTGTCCCCCAAACTAGGGTCCCCCACCCCAGACGAAAGGCCAGTTACTCACGATCTTTTCATAATACTCCCGTCTCCGCTCCGCCCTCTTCTTGTAGTCGACCATCATGCCTCTAAGTTTCCGCTCATGCTTCCGAGCCTCGTGCCACATTGTGGTGAGGCCAAGCCTGGGGCCTCAACCTGAGGGATGAAGGGACCAGGAAAGTCAGATGGGCTGTGAAAACCATATGGGCAGAATCAAAGTCATCTAACAAGTTGGTGACAGAGTCGATCCCAAACAACACATCGCTTAGCTTCAGGGAGCAGAAGTGAAGCTGCAGAACGGTATGCCAGATGTTCAAGTCCATCCCTAACAACTTCGATCTGGCAACTTGGGCATTCTAAAAAACCCTTAGGTGATTCTGAGGTGAGCATCCCTGGGAAAGGGGTGTCCTACATTCCATGCGCTGGAGTCGGGGATGAAAGTTTTGAAACATCAGTAGGGTCAGTAGTTTGAAGTAGGGTCAGACGGCAAACCCTGAGCACCTGAGGCTGGAGCTCAAGGGAAAGAGAAGAGCTGAAAAGGCTCCCACTAGGGGCCATGCGTGGGTATGAGTCTGGGTGCTAGAGGGATAAGGAAGGTAAGGATGAAGGCAGGTGGAGGAAATCGGAGAAAGCCTTTAAGGGAACAGTGCAGTTGCATGAAGGTGGAGGTCGAGGACAGGTGAAGGGCGTGGCGGAAGATGAAGATGCTAGAGGGAGGGGGAACACGGGAAGGGAGTGTTGCAAGGAGACCAGAGTGAGGTTGAGGTCTAAAGATGGGATCTAGATGGCAGGGTGTGGAGAGTACCCAAGGAAAAAGAGGGTAGAGCTTGAGAGAGGCGGAGTTGGCTGACGGGAGGGCGTGGGCTGAGCTTGGGGGCAGGGCTTGTGGGAAAGGGAGGAGACCGAAGGTTTGGACAGGGCTTGTGGATCGCGTCGCGGCCTGAGGATTTGGGCTGGATTCTTGAGCCCAGAAGTCCTGAGTGCTAGTAGTTAAGAGCCCCAGAGCGACCAAGGCATGCACTCCAGCCTTGGGTGGGAAAGACCCCTGTCTTTCAAGCGTAAGCTGCATGCTGCTTGCTGTGGTCATTAAAAACCCTAGTTTTAGGAATAACAGGTCTGCCTGTTTCAGAATGAAAATAACCCATTTAAAATTTGCCCTACTCCATTTTCCTTCACGCTTCACATTTCAACTTTTAAACAACTAATCACTGCCCATCTACAGATTAAGATGTTATTGCACTAAAACCTTTTGCCACCTTAAAAATTTCCTTGAGACCGGGCGCGGTGGCTCAAGCCTGTAATCCCCAGCACTTTGGGAGGCCTGAGACGGGGTGGATCACGAGGTCAGGAGATCGGACCATCCTGGCGAACACGGTGAAACCCACCCGTCGTACTAAAAAATCCAAAAATCTAGCCGGGCGAGGTGGCGGGCGCCTGTAGTCCCAGCTACTTCGGGAGGGCTGAGGCAGGAGAATGGGCGTAAACCCGGAGGGGCGGAGCTTGCAGTGAGCTGAGATCCGGCCACTGCACTCCAGCCTGGGCGACAGAGCTAGACTCCATCTCA